TTTTTGGATATCGAGGGTGGGGGCCTTGTTTCCATGCTGGGCTTCCTGTGGTTAATCGCAGGTAGTGGTGGAAGCAGATTTTCAAAGCATAAGAGTAGGTTTGCAAAGCTATATCCAAACGGGGGATGGGTCTATGTATGACTCCCATGACCATAATCTCTACTTGGTGAAGTCCCTGTGCCTTGAGCCTCCTGGTAACACTGTTGCTTGCTTTGTTCCAGGTTTATCTCCATTGCAGAAGGATGTCACAGTCACTCAGCTCCCGGTGCCTTCCGCCTTGTGATGTGACATGCCCCAGACCATGTGTCAATGCCTGGAACTGGCCATGTGTTACATCTTGCGGTGACTCGAGGGCAGTGGTCTACCCACCTCCAGTTGTTGTGAACTTCCCAGGGCCGATCCTCGTCTCCTGCCCTCAGGAGAGCATTGTGGGCACTGTGTTGCCAAAGTCAACTGGTGGCATAGGCCCATTCCCCTATGGGTCTGGTGGTGGCTATGGGTCTGGTTCTAGCTATGGGTTTGGTGGTGGCTATGGGTCTGGTTCTAGCTATGGGTCTGGTGGTGGCTTTGAGATTGGTTCTGGATATGGGTCTGGTGGTAGCTATGGGGTTGGTTCTGGATATGGGTCTGGTTCTGGGTATGGGTCTGGTTTTGACTGTGGGTTGGGTTCTGGCTATGGGTTTGGTGGTGGCTATAGGTCTGGTAGTTGCTATGGGTCAGTGTCATCCCGAAGGCGCCGTCGGTACAGCTCTGTAAGCTGCGGGCCATGCTAAACCCAGCACAAGGAACTCCCAGGCAATGAAAAGCAAGATACGGCATCACAGCTGAGCTGGCGGGGCTGGCTCTCAGACTTGCTGAGCACCCACAACTCCCATGGATGACCGAAAAAGTCACAATTGCTCAGCGTGTCTGAAAATCTGGCCCATCTCCGTGTTTTCCATGTGTACTTCACCTTTACTTATTCTGGATTGTTCTTAGGTGCTACCTATTTATAGCATGTAATTGCAAGGTACTTTCTGCTGCTGGCCGTCGGCTTTGGAAAAACAAACAACTTGACTTGTTTGAGACTGGGGCTTGATGATGCAGCAAAGAAAGTTAAATGTCTTGTGCCAAGTGCAGTTCTGTAGAACAGGTGATTGGATGTGACCATTCACGGAGTCCTGGAAAGCAGCTTTCTCCTTTGCATTGTCTTGTTTTGCAAATGTATACTCAGCATCTTGTTGCATTAAAGTTCTGTTGCATCACAGCATCGGCCTTTGAGTGTCATTTCTCCTACATGCCTTTACACACAGGAGTAGCATCCTTCACCTGCTTCCATTTATCCTGAGCATCATCCCCTTGGCAATGCAAGCCTTGACTCACATCTGGTCCGGAAGAGAGAGAAGGAGATTTCATCCTTGTTAACTACATTTTTTCTTGGCCCTATTGAAATGCAGTTTCTCCTTTGGTCTTCCTTTGCCCCCCACCCCAGACAGGGTTTGGATCTGTCTCTCAGGTCTCAGCACAGGGTTTTAACCACTAGATAACAGGCCAGGTGTTAGGAAGACCTCTCCCAGTCCTGCTCCCTCACTGATGGTCTGGAATCGGGCACTCATACAGCAGCTCATTTGGGTTGGGGGGCTCCTTCAATGGTTGCATCTCCTATGGTGGTGGCAGTTCTGGTGTCTCATATTGATACAGACGGTCTTACACTTCCAGCTGGTCCACAATGGGCTCTTCTGGAGGGTCTCAGTGTGAACTCTGCTAACCTCTGAAGCCCACTCACCCCAGAGATGTGCACAGAATAAGGAACAACCAGGAACTGCAAAGCAAGATCATGATTTATGGGTCACTTTGATTTATGGGTCACTTCTGTACAATGGGTTTCTGAAGTGCTGAGCTCCCGCAACTCCCCGTGAGGTCCGAGGGAGCTGAGAGCACTCAGGACTTTTGAAACACGGGCTCACCTCTCTTTCTCTTGATCCATTTTCCCTGAGATTCATTACACAGTGGTTGGGTTTCCAGCTCTGTCCCCATGCTGCTTGGCCATGTTTGGTGCTGGCCAGGGCAAAGCAAGTAGCTACCAATGGTTAAGAACAGAACTTGAGTGTCAAACTCCTAAGCTGCAAGAGCAAGAGGACAACATCATGTGGAACATATATCACCTTGCAGCTGATGAATGGTTGTAGTCCTACAAATACCTTCTCTATACCCCTCCCTATTTTTGTCTGTGAGTGTGTACTGCTCTTCTCATTCGCATTAATATTGTGCTGCACCATAATGTTGGCCTGCTGATTTCCTGTGTGCCTCCATTCTTAAGCTACAGGATGCTTGGTATGAAATTCATGCCTATGCATTGGACCACAGCTGGCTCTGTGAACTATTTGGTCCCAGAAGACTTAAAATGAAGGAAGTAGCAGACCTGTTCAGTGGACAGTAGCATACTGGAGACCTCATGTACAGGGAGTAATTTAACCCTCATTACACATATTTATTTATACATGGTAGTGAATACTAATTGCTCTTCATAGTCAGCTGCAGCTACATCATCTTCTCACCATAAAACATGTACAGGGTAAAATATGTAGAAACAAATATACTGTATTCCTTTCAATTATTTGCTGCTCATAGTTTCTTGTTGGTCATTAACAGGGAAGAAAAGACTAGGAACTTGAGAACACTTCCACACTCAATGTTGTTTGCTTGGGGCTCAAACATAATTATAATATACTTTTTGTTTCATGAAACTTCCAGCTTTTGAAACATAGCTTTTGAGTTCTGCTCCAATTATTAAGTCCAAGGGCATGTCTACACTGCTGCCTAAAGCCTGCATGGAGCTTATATACTGTAATTTAGAGCAAAAGAAGCTAGCTAAGGTAGGGCAAGAAGCTTGACTGGGCAGCATGGAGAATATCCCAGATTGCAATGGATGCACGAGATGCTGGATAAACACATGGACAGTCATCATCAGCTACCCTTTGCAATCAAGGATGATTATCTTCCATGACTGTCTTCAGTCACCTGCACTGAAGTCTATTCAGATTCTGCTTGTGTTTCCCCACCTTCCTTCCTTGTTGAAGAAAGGAGAGAGAAAATAGCACTTTCCTGTTCCCTTAGATGAGCCAAAGGAGGAGGGTAAGGAGCTTTAGGGGGTATTTATTCAGCTACCTCCCACCCAGTAGCACAGCCCCTTCATGTCAATGAGGAGTCATTAGCACAGCCAGAGATATTAAATTATTACATAAGCAATATTTCTGTTCTGAGTCAACTCAGAATTATGGGGAGACTCAAACAAGAGAAGTTATTAGAAGAAGTCTGAATCATGGGCACTTTCTTACCTGAAGGGTAAGTGCTCCTTACTAGTAAGCAAAGTATTCTGCAGAAGTGACTGTTCTGATTGTTGAACAGTCATTCGGCTGCTTTATAATAGTCCATATCATACTGTCAGACCCTCACACTAAGAGATGCATCGGATGCTCTATGCCATTCCTTCCATCCCAAATTGAACTAATAAATATAGAAACATAGAATTATAAAAATGAGGGTTGGAAGGGGCCTCAGGAGGTCGCACGTAGTCCAACCCTCTGCTCAAAGCAGGAGCAGCCCCAACTAGATCAACCCAGCCAAGGGTTTGTCAAGCTGGGAACTAAAAACCTCCAAGGATGGAGACTCCACAAACTCTCTGGGTAACCCGCTCCATATAATATCATATAATATTTCCCAGGGACATTTCAGTTCTATCAGGGCCTTGGGATTTCTCATTTTCCTTCTGGTGGGCAGTGAAAATAATGTACTTTGAAATTTGGATCATTTGTGCCTTAAGATTTCCTTAACTTACCAGTTGAAATTTGAGCAAACAAGTGCCAACATCTTTAAAATTAGTTGGTGATTCAGCTAACTCCAAGCCAGTTGCATAGGTCTTCATGTCAATGACTAGTCTTTAGCACACCCAGAGACCAAGCAACGCTGTGGTTGCTTGGGAGGGGCATGAAAGCCATGGCACCTGTCCAGGCAAACCAGCAACCACCAGTAAACCCAGCCTAGCACCGTCCTACCACCTCCTGAAGGGCAGTGTGAGATGAAGGAGGCTGCTGCCTCAGCTGAGTCTTCCTATGAAGAGCACGTACTGGTTCAGCCAGAGGCTGTATCATGTCTCCATCTAAAAGGCCTAGATCCTAACCATTGGATGCTGATTTTGGGTTCCTCAACTGCTGGAGACCCATCGGAGGCATCTTCCTAGGGCCTAGCAAAACAGAGGCCTGAATACCTGCTCTCTGAAAAACACAGCCCTAGCAAGGGTCTCAGTTGGGGAGCCCAAATGAACCCCCTTCGTACAAATAGTCAATTGAGAGAATTATGTCTTAGGTGGTTAGACCAGGCAGTGTCAAGCCTTGGCTTTGCCCTGCCTCAGGACAAGCCCCTCAGTTCTTGCCCTGGTTACACTCGTGTCACTCCCGGGTAGCTCTTTTGGCCCCAGCATCTTTCATTTGCACTTTCACAATGTCATCTCAGCATTTAGTCTCTCTCACTTCACACTTACTTCTGCAACCTGCCCTTGCTATTTCCCTGCACTGAGCACACATTGTGCAGCCTCTAATTTCGATGCATCTGCAAGAGTGAGGAATTTTGCTGTGATTAGAGGAGTGCCCTATGCAGTAATTCAGTAGGGAAGCCTCATGCTGCTGGACATAGCTGGCACCCACCGCCCAGCAAACAATCTGCTTTTTTTTTCGAGAGAAGTCTTATAACTCAACATCATAAAGTAAGATTTTGAAATGACCAAGGCAAAACCCTGAAGCTGTCTCTGGATTGGCTCCTGATGAACTGATTTGGCTCTTGCCGACAGCCCCTTCCTAGGAAAGGAACCACAGTCAGAGGCCTTCCACACTAGTGACCATATAAGGGACCCATTCATTCTCCTGTGCCTATGGGTATTAAAGAGCTCCTAAGCAGAGGAACAGTGCAGCAAACTCAGTATTTCCCAGGCTGGTTTGGGAAAAAGGAAGGGAGGAGGCCAAGGCTATATTGCAACAGGGTTTTTTATTGCATAGGAAAAATGGAACACACATTTGCAGAATGAAATGAGGAGGAGTACAAAGAAGGGGTCGCCAGGGTTTCAGTCCAAGTTACAGTCCATTGTGATGGGGTTTGCAAAAGATGGTCTTCTTTCATGGTTGTATGACTGGAGCTTGACAATCAAGTCCTGTTCCTACCAGGTGACTATCCTTGTCTCACTCTGGCCAGCATCAAATAGGGCAAAGAACAATGCAAGCTGAGGTTTAAGGCCACGCTGGTTTAAGACTCTTTAGAGGAAATAGATATTACTGGAAGATGAAGCATAACATAGAAAGGTTGTGGGCAAGTCTGAGAGCGAGCTCCACCAGCCCAGCTGTGGTGCTGTATCTTGCTTTTCATTGCCTGAGGTTTCCTTGTTCTGCAAACGTTCTTGCTGGGCTTAGCATGGTCCACAACTTCCAGAGCTGAACTTATGGTACCTTCGGGATGACACAGACCCATAGCAACTGCCAGACCCATAGCCAGAACCAAACCCATAGCCAGAACCAAACCCATACCTAGAACCAGACCCATAGCCAGAACCAGACCCATAGCCACCACCAAACCCATAGCTAGAACCAGACCCATAGGCAGAACTAGACCCATAGGGGAATGGGCCTATGTCACCAGATTGCTGTGGCAAAACGGTGCCCACAATGCTCTCCTGAGGGCAGGAGGCAAGGATCGGTCCTGGGAAGTTCACAACAACTGGAGGTGGGTAGACCACTGCCCTCGAGTCACCGCAAGATGTAACACATGGCCAGTTCCAGGCATCGGCGCATGGTCTGGGGCATGTCACATCACAAGGCGGAAGGCACCGGGAGCTGAGTGACTGTGACATCCTTCTGCAATGGAGATAAACCTGGAACAAAACAAGCAGCAGGGTAACCAGGAGGCTCAAGGCACAGGGACTTCACCAAGTAGGGATTATGATCATGGGAGTCATATATAGACCCATCCCCCGTTTGGATATAGCTTTGCAAACCTACTCTTATGATTGTAAAATCTGCTTCCACCACTACGTGCCATCAACCATAGGAAGCCCAGCACAGGCACAAGGCTCCCACCCTCCATTTCCAAAAACACAGCAAATCAATGCAGCATTCAGTCCTGAGCTACAACCACCACTAGAGAGATTGCCTGGGTTATAACTCAATGGAGCTGAATGACACTTACCCACTTCAGTCACCAAGAGGATGCTGCTGCTGCAGTGGTTAGAGAGCTGTGCGATGCCACTGCTTTTATAGTGTGTCCTGACAATGGGAGGGAGGATAAGACCGAAACTTCCGTGACTTTTCTGGCAATTACCTAACAAACTGTTTTTTTCAAATAAGAGGGTAACTCCTCTTATTACTGCAATTGTTTTGTGCATGGTCTGCAATGATTCATTCCCAGTCTAATAGTCTGATATGCATATTCTGCTTTTTGGCATCTTTTCATCTTGAAGCTTTCCGAGCTACATTCCTTCCTGGTATCATTCCCGTGCCTTCCCAGAATGACCATGTTTGGCAAGTGGGAAAGACTTCCTACACAAAATGTTTCATAGCCTCTTGGGAAATATAATTATGTCTTTTGAGATCCCCCTGGGAATTTTGTGCAAACAGATACCTTTGAAACACCCTTTGATGTTGGACTGGCCACCTTCCTTGCTTTCTAATGCTTTGACAGGTTGATATTGATAACTTACTCTGGTCCCAATGGGGGCTCTGTGATGGGAATCTGTTAAGGTCTGACCCTATTTTTTTCCTGAAAAAACTGATGTTGATTTTTGATGGTTCATAGGATTGCAGTGGAAGCATCATATGCACTGGAAGCATCATTTGCATTCACAGGACTGCTTTGCCCAACTACCATCTTGCAGCCGTTCAAGCTCATCACGCACAAATGACAAAGAAAATGATGATCCATGTACAGTAATGCAGGGCATCAGAGATTCTCTGGAATGAATGGGCTCGCCCAAGGCAACTGCATGAGGCAGGGGAAAGGCTACAGTTAGAGACCAGGGATTTCCAGTTGTGTTAGACTTATTATTTATCACATGAATGCCACTAGTCCCAGGTGCGGACAAGATTTTGGCCTCAGACCGTAGCACATTGCACAAAGTGACCTAAGAGAAGCCCAGTCTAGAAGAGCTGAAAAGTAGTTAAACAGAGAAAAGAAGGCAGGAAGGATTAATATACTCATTTCACAGGTGGAAGGATAGCACATGGAGACATCAAAATGGCATTAAATTAAGCTCACTAAGTGCTGTATTTGAAAATATGGCCTTTCTTCCCACATGCAATCTGGGGGGAAATGCAGAGCTCTGTGTCCTAATGCAGTGTTTTAACTACAACATTATTCCTTTTCTGTGAGGTCTCTGCGCCTTTCTTCATTAATGATACAGCAATGAATGATTTGCTTTGGTTGTTTTGGAGCTCTCTGTCCTGCTTCTCCCTATAATGCAACTCTGACCAGTTCCAGGCAAAGGACAATTATACAATTACCATTACTGATCTTCATACCCAAACATATAATACAGAAAATTTCCTTCAGGGACATGCCGGGTATTTGTAAAATGATTTAGAAAATGATGGCATCAAAGAGGGTGAGGGCGAGGGCGAGGACAAGGTTAATTATGTTTCTTGTATTAATAAGGTTTACTCCTTGCTTGCAAGACTGTTTGGGGAAATACCAGTTTTGGGCACTGCGGTTTCTAAATTCAGTGAATCAGCAATATTGTTAAAAAAATGCACACACGCTCTTCTTGTGCGATAAGAAATCCAACATCCACTGTCTATCGGCACAAATGCTTTCATTCAGCAGTCCTGCCACCTTGCACCAGGGCAGTGCCCACCGACTCAAAATTATAAGTTGTACAGACAGAAGTCATGGATTTGCAGACAAAATCAGACAGCTTTTCCAGAAAGGGCAGTATTCTTCGCATGACGTGAAGCAGTGGATGCCTCAGGGCAAAAGTATGAGGCCCCTGAAGGCCATTAGAGGGTCAATCACTTAGCGGTGAAGTGCTTGAAAGTCTAATGTAAAGGTGAGCTTCGTCTTGGGGAAGGAGACTGGCCGGCTGGCTACCTATCTATATCTGGGCAAGTTCTCTGCTGGGCCAGGCCAAGGTGGTGACCCTGAAAAGTCACAGGACCTAGCTCACAGGAGGGCTCTGCCTGTGTCCTCCATCTCTTTTGGGTCCGGGTCCAGGCATGTGTCACCTCTGAACCTGGACATTGCTCCTTGTGACCGCACGTGGCCCCGTTGGTGTTGTCCTGGGCCACCAAAAGGGCACTCTGCCCAGGGGAAGATGGCCAGAGAGTCCTAAATGTGATACCACATGGAGGGCAGTGGGGAGGTTGGTCGGGGTCTGTCTGCCTGCCTGTGGGCACAAACTACTCATTGCAGGGTTAAAGGTATCGTGGCATTACTGTGCCTCAGCTGCGCTGTGGGGAATGCCCATTTCACACCTGGGTAAGAGGCATGGGATGCCTGCTAGATGTAAAGCCCCACTTCAGTTCCCCAAAAAGTCTACTTGAAGGCAGACGTGGGGAGTGAGTTGTATGGGGTCTTGTACTGAGTCTGCATCTGCGATACAATCATCACCCATCCAGCTCATTTCCCAACAGCCTGGAAAGGTCCCCCAGGACAGAACTTGGATGGGCTCATTCAGACCCTGAATAGGAAAAGCTGAGGAGTGGTGGGGGAAGGTGGGCTGGAAAGCTCCCTCCCTCCAAAGCAGCACCAAGGTAAGGGCCACAATGCCCCCAGCTAGTGCTAGCCTGGATTAAAAGGCCCCAGCATTCACCAACTTGTAATTCATCATGTCACTCAGAGCCACCTTCGTCCTGACACGTCTGCAGGAGAGGAGCTGAGCAACCAGAGCCAGGGCTCTTTGCAGTTGAATGTGATGAAGTTAATGGGTTGATACCTGAAAGGAGGTTAGCCATTGAGGCTCGAGTTCAAAGTATTTGGCAAATATGCACATCACAGTGGGTAGGATGGGGCCTGGATTAATAATTGCAAACTGTGAACAAGATAGCTAAGGCAATTAGAGGAGTTACTTAGAAAGCAAATATTTTGCATGAGTATTAAATGGTTTTTATGACTCAAAGGAGTAAGACATCCTCCCAGGCAGCATATAAAAGGTCTCACCACTAAGGCTCACATACCTACATCAGCTGTCTTCTTCTTCTTCTGACCCGGGTAAGTCTGATTTGCTTCAACTGCTGTTAGCATTGGGCAGCTCAAAAGGGATCATTTTTCTTTAGTTCTGAAGGCTGCACCAGTAGTGCGGGATTACTTAGAAGCATGAGCTGGATTAGTTAGCTGCAGGCATACATCTTTCCATATGAGATGTATTATGTTTAATTGCTGGCATTCACCAATGCAGGTCTGCAATTTTCACTCCAGCTGCGTATTTTTCAAGCATGTATTGAATGCAAAATGATCAGCAGCAGAGAGCAGAATCTGGGACTCCTGCCCAGCCAGGGGAATGCCCAGCTCACTAGGCTACAGTATCCTGCTCCTTCTTACCTGCTCCCTTCCCAGCCCCTTGACTCTGGTTCCTGGCTGCTGTTCAACACAGCTTCATCAGCGGAGGTGCAGGGAGGTCTCAGCCCTGCCTAGGCATGGCCTGATGGCTGCAGCATTTGACTAGAAATGGGAGATTTGGATTTAAACCCTCTCTGGAGGATATGGGGTGCCTTGAACCGGAGGGTCCCACATCCTGGGGAAGCACCGGAACTGCTTGGCTTGTAGTTCAGCTCTGCTCTTTTGGACCCCTGCACTGTAATCTCTCTGGGCCTCATCAATAGGGAGATAATAATCAATCTTCCCACCAATGCTTTGTTTTTCACTTATTATTTGGAAGTTTGTGCAAGGCAAGGGCATCTTTCCTCAACTTAGTTCAGTGCTGAGTCCACATGGTCTGAGAAAAGGTTGGAAAGCAGATCTCAGCTCTTGTCTCTAGCAAGAACTGACAGTGCCTAAGTTTTGCTTCCTTTCTTCCACTGGGTGAATAAGACATACTGGGCAAGTCAGGGAATATGTGCACTCTTTGACTGTGTCCATAACATGGGACTCCTCATTGACATGAAGGCCTATGCCACTGGCTTGGAAGTAAATGAATATGGGGTTGCACCAAATGGAAGGTGCTTGAATCAGTGCTGAGGAGGCTTGCTTTCCTAGGCCTTCTTGTTCCTGCCTGCAATATTTAAATACTGGAAGGAAGAAGTACTGAACGAGTCAAGAAAGCATTTTGGGGTGATTCAACCAAATGAATGGCTGGGGAAAGGCCAGGCAAAAAGTAGCATTGACCTCTAGGAAAGGTGAATGTCAAATAGGGAAGACTCTTTCCTGGATGAGACCGAAGGACATAGGAAGTTTGGAGGGCATGTGAAGGAGAGAGATGCAGGACATAGTATGGCTGCAGAAGGTTGGTTGTTAGGAGGCGAAGGGGGAATGGGTGAGTAGGATTGTGAAGTCCCTGTGCCTTGAGCCTCCTGCTTACCCTGCTGCTTGCTTTGTTCCAGCTTTATCTCCTTTGCAGAAGGATGTCACAGTCACTCAGCTCCCGGTGCCTTCCGCCTTGTGATGTGACATGGCCCAGACCATGCGCTGATGCCTGGAACTGGCCATGTGTTACATCTTGCGGTGACTCGAGGGCAGTGGTCTACCCACCTCCAGTTGTCGTGCACTTCCCAGGACCAATCCTTGCCTCCTGCCCTCAGGACAGCATTGTGGGAACCGTGCTGCCAAGGCAATCCGGTGACATAGGCCCGTTCCCCTATGGGTCTGGTTCTGCCTATGGGTCTGGTGGTTCTGCCTATGGGTTTGGTGTTGGCCATGGGTCTGGTTCTGGCTATGGGTCTGGTTCTAGCTATGGGTTTGGGGGTGGCTATGGCTCTGGTTCTAGGTATGGGTTTGGTTCTGGCTATGGTTTTGGTTCTGGCTATGGGTCTGGCAGTTGCTATGGGTCTGTGTCATCACGAAGGTACCGTAAGTTCAGCTCTGGAAATTGTGGACCATGCTAAGCCCAGCAGGAACGTCTGCAGAACAAGGAAATCTCAGGGATTGAAAAGCAAGATACGGCATCACAGCTGAGCCGGTGGAGCTGGCTCTCAGACTTGCTGAGCACCCACAACTCCCATTATGACCGAAAAAGTCACGATTGCTCAGCGTGTCTGAAAATCTGGCCCATCTCCGTGTTTTCCATGTGTGCTTCACCTTTACTTATTCTGGATTGTTCTTAGGTGCTACCTATTTATAGCAT